AATCCCTTCACATACTGACGTCACAGGTGACCTACTCAACTCTACTTCACCTGCCCAGTGTCCCGCCAAGTCTCAGACAGCATGTTTTTATCGTTTAAAAAAAAACGATTCCAGCCGAGCATGTCTCTGACCACACTATCCCTTCATATGCTTAGGACAAAGAAACATAACTCTGCTTCACCTTCCCTGTATTCCGCCAAGTTCAGATAGGCAACTTTATCATTCACATCTCAAAAAAAAAAAAAAAAAAAAGAAAAAAAAAATACATTGACGTGTCTAGAACCCGTGCCACCCGCATGAAAGCCGATTACACTAACAATTTAGCTATTTAACCCGTGACTTCTCAGATGTATGTTGTAATTGCAATTTTTGAATAACATGAGCTTAGTTAAAAATTTAAAACCATTGAGTTTACGAATTAATTAGTTGTTCATGTTAACAATTAAATTTCCTAATATGATGATGTCATCAATAACTCTTACATAAACAATACATCATGGCCTGCTCAAAACTCTTAATTACGAAATGCACACAGAGGCGTAGCGATGGGTGGGGGAGGGGGGGGAGGGGTGACTGACATATGTCACTGGGCGCCGACCTTAGGGGGCGCCAAAATGGGTTGTAAAAAGTAATCGAACATTTGAGGGGGGTGAAAATCAAAAGTTTGAGGGGGTTGCAAATCGAAAGTTTGTCCCCGGGCGCGGGAAGGGTACCTACGCCTCTGAATATACAGTAGCAAAGTTTCCAATAAAACGACATAGCTTTTAATGTCGTTGTATTGCAATAAACTCACAACGTTACAAAACCATTTTGCCCTACATTCTGTATTTCTTATTCCATACACAATGTAACAATGTTGCCCTGCATATGTAAACCTACAGCAAATCTTTTGATTTTAAGCTTGCTTTTAAATTGAAGCTGTGAAAAACATTTTAGTATTGTGCTAGTTACTTCCCATTTATATAATCATGTATGCCAAGGGATGCTACCTGAAAATGCTATGAGACGTATTAACAAGTAGTAAAAAACATTCTTTTTTTTTAAAGTATGAAAATATACTTTGATAAATTAATATTAATATTAGTATGCTTTATTTAAACTAAAAACAATTGGAATATATCTTAAATAATCTGTAAATTAGAAATATTCAAATGAAGAAGATTTCTCTAAGAGTTTCACATTTAAAGTCTTGATTTTTTTTGGCAAAACCATATATATATATATATATATATATTTACCTGCACAGGATACACATAGATCAACAAAGAGGTCGTCCCGGCCTTTTCGCTAAGATCAAAGTGTAGTATCTGTTCTTGATTCTGCACTGATCATAGCCATTCGTTTAGTCGGTCTTCTTTAGGTTCGATTGCCGGGTCGGAAGGCGGTCAAATCTACTCAACTCAACAAGCAAACCAAGATTGCTCAGGGGTTGCTCCCACACTTCCCTCGAACGCTCAAAGCTCTCGAGAAGAGCCACTTTGGTGGTTTCAATGTACGAGTGGCTAATTTCGATTTTTCAGCTAGACAACGCCTACCTAGGAGTAATCTTAGGTAGGATGTTTCGGCACGACAACATCGAACTACGATAATCTCGACAAACTAGACTCAAAGATCAACTCGACAACACAACTTTCACAACGCACGACTATTCATCTCCCAACGAACTAAAAGTATTACCCAAATAAACAATCCTATCAACGCTACTATGTGACACTCAACTTGCGTTTTCCAACACACGATTACGCCATCTACCAAGAAGCAACGAATCAAATCTCGAACACTCTAAAACAATATACTTTCAACTCATGATAATCTTGAAGACCTATACGCAACTATCAACTCGATCACTCAAATGTTCATATCGTCTGTATTTCACTCAATGCCTTAAATGTAAACAATGCATTTATGTAGTTTTATTAACGACATGGATTTGACGATCTACGGAAGTGTGTTCGAAGTATCTTAGCACCATGTCTATTTTTTTGTCTACTTTGAGGAGCCAAGGATTTTCACATACGCCACGAGCACTGGAATAGGTCGACCATTAATTTTGCAAAGTTACTTCCCATTATAACAAGTCATTGTTTGCAAGGGATGCAACCTCTAAATATAAATAATTGCTTAGTGAAACACTTGAATTATAAATATAAATGTTATCAATTTATTTCTATACAAATAATAACTTTTATCGAAAATCAGAATTAATTTTATATTTGTTAAAAAGGTCATTTATTTTTTTCCATTTTGATCTAAAATGAACGCACTAACTTTAATAAGTCCGCAACTTATAGACAGTTGATAACTCAGTTAAATCATCAGTGTGTTGCCTTTTTATGCTGGACATACTTTTGATAATTATTTTTACATTTATTGACTCCTCAGCTAAGGACTGAGCACAGTAAACTAAGCAGTCATGAGAAACCGAGTCTGCACACCTTATTTTAGACTAGTTCTTAAGCCATTTTATAATCTCCCTTTGATTATTATATATGCATTTGATGTTCATATCTTTATATTGTGTAAAACTATCATATACATGATTTTTACTGATTTCAATGTTTAAAACAATTGAATTAAAAAAATGTTTGACGACTGTATAGATATAAATGTTTGAAAGGGAAGAATGTTTGCTTTGATGTGTCTCGATTTAATAACATAACTTTTCCGATTGTTTAAAATTGGTATCATTGCAATTGTCTGTAATCACAAATTTATTTCAGCTCTACTTAAAAACCCAAATTCCCCCCCCCCATCCTCCCCCCCCCTCACCCACCACGACAAGGGGAAAAAATCCCTTGAATCATCATTTAATTACACATTTGCATTTTCAGGTTGGGTTTTTTTTTTTTTTTTTTTTTTTTTTATATTTAGACGTTTTGTATTAAATCTATGTATAAGCAAACCATCTTAACTGAATGAAAGTAGGCTACAAGTAAGAAATAAATATTACTGTTGTAAATCTGTATCAGTCCTCACAAGCCGGTGATGAGAACTGTAATACTAAAGCGAACACACACAACTGACGCTGTAAATTACATGCCTGAGGCAAAAAAAAAATTAAATTTAAATTACAAAATTAATCTGTAATAAAAGTCCACTGATCGTCAATGTGTAAACAAACTATTCTTCAGCTGTATCATATAAACATATTTTTGGATATAAACATTATTATGTACGTAACTGATATTAATTAGACAATAAATATGTATTCATGTATTTTAATGTTTCTTTAATTGTGAATAAGATGTCGTTTCAACATATTTTATTGTTGTTCTATAGTTCTATGTATGTCAACGCGCAACTTTCCCTAACTTGAATTAGTTACTCATAAGAGCTACGTGGACTCAAGTACAATCTACGGACTTGAACCCCGATTCGATCTTGAGACTTTCAGGTTAAACGACTAGACTTTACGTGGAAAACAAATGATTTGATTCAAACAATGTGTTAATTTTGAGCTTAGCTCGTGGTTACTAAATCGAACTACAATATCTGTATGGTATTCATTATATGAGCAATTGGACATATGCATATCAGTGGGAGCCCCAAAAATGTCTTGCGAAATTAGAGATTACATAGGGCCCCATACATCTAGTCATTTCAATTTGAATTACTTTTAACTTGAAGCAATATATGTTGATAAATCAAGTTTGGACCCGACTGGTACATATAGAGTGAATAAACACAACTACACTCTAAGGTAATACACGATTTCAGCCGGTCAAAATCTGAGCACTTTTTCTTTAAATGAATAGAAAATAAGTCACATTTTTACAGGCAAGCAACAATTATCATTATCACGCTACTCAACACTCACTGTGTTTATTAAACATTAATTATTGGTTAACAAAAACATGCGCATCATCTTCTCCTTGGTAAATGATTTAAGTCACCACACCAGACGTCCCTCATACCAAAGTCACACAACCACAGACTGATATGGAAACAGAAACACCAATATCCAAGGGAAACAAGTTTTAGCAACATAGTTTTTTTACATGTCTATAAGAAATAGGCTTCGTAAACTAATAGTCAGTGCAAACGTTGAAATATGTCATGTACTTTATGATGATCATATCATTATATACGTCGTCATTGATTTTCTTTACTAAACTATATATACACTTCAGTTTATTAAACCATCTCCTACAACATAGAATGTGATAAGATGTCTTAACCATCTTAAATAATCTTTGTCATAATGCTGATTAGGATAATCCTCTCCACATACAATGTTATTAAATTGAGCTACACTCTCCATTCAACACACGTTTGACAATGTTACCAAAAGTTTTAAGATTCACACAGTTTTGACAATGTTTAGTACACTCTGTACCTCTCAATCCACGGAAATTGATTCTATAATGTTGCTATAAATATCTCATTCTATACAGACGTTATAAAGTTACCCTAAAATCTCAGCCCTATTTACACACTAAATTTAAGAATGTTGCATAAACGTTACATCGCCAAAAATATACTAATGTTGCTCTAAGCTTTTTAACCTACGAAAGATATATTAACTTGCAATATAACTTGTGTTAATAATAGATGTGCCTCACGAAAATTGGCATGTATTTTATTACTTCCCTTATACAAGTTAATTGAATCAAGGGATACAACTTAAAGATTTCAACAAAACTATTTATTAAAATAAAGATCATTAATATAATATATGATGGTATAATTGTATAAACACGTCAAATAAAATAAATATTTTCTATCAGTAAAATGTTGAAATTATTATTTTTGTTTCTAAAATCCATTTTTTCATAAAAAATGTATAAAAATCAAACCTCTTAGACATGTTACAAATTATTTCTTAGACGTTTAATATTTGATGATTTACAATAGTTCTTCCGTGCTCCTAAACGATGTTATTATTCTTGTGTTATGTGTGTGAATCTTTTTTCTTTTTTTTTTTTTAAATAGGTTATACAATTTTTATTATAATAAAGTAACATTTCTACATGAGTCATTCAACACACATTCAACCCTAACACAGTACATAAAAATAAACAAAAAATTTTAATCATGCAATCCAAACTTTCTTTCATTCATCAACTACATCTTTGTGCTGGAATTTACATTTGCCACGCATTTCTTTAGGTAACGGCACATATTTAGGACCGGGAACCTGACCAGGGATCTCACAGATACACTGGTTGCTACAGTTGGCACCAAAGTTGGCAGGATTGGTTTTCTTCTCTTTGGCCAGTGCTTCAGCTGGCAGCGTTTCTTCGTTTTTACAAAATATCCTTTTAACTTGGTTAAAAATTTCGTCTTTATCTTGACTGGCAATGTCTAAAACTAACTTGGATCCACCACTAAAGAAAATTTTAAAAAATGGTGATGGCGTCAAATCATTGTAGACACACATTTGCACATCAGGATTTTTATACTGCATTTGTGCAAAATGCCAAAATACAAACTGCTTGGTACCTTCACTAGATGGCTGATTTCTATTAAAGTTAAAAGTGACTATTTTGACATTGTCTTTGAATACCAAACTTCCTTTCTCTAAATATTTCAATGTTCTCCTTATAGGAGCTGCTCCTTTCATAAAAGGCATGATGAAAAGGTATTCTGTCTTTTGTACAATGTAGATGCTTTTCACTTTCTTTTGAATTTTGTATTAGGATCTTAATTTTTCATTTCAGAGTTCAAAAATGTTATGTGTGTAAAGAAGCGCACAATTAATTGAAAATTACCAAAAGTATGGCCATTCTTATTAAGTATAAAGTAACTGTTGAGATGTCACAGTAGCTCGTCTTTATAAAATACAAGCTCATATTTGTTATTGGTTTCATCACGATATTGTTTCATATTTTTCGAAATTAAGTAGGCCTACTTTACCGCTCTCCTTCTCTTCCACAAAAAAAAAAAACGTAATCTTTTTCGAAAAAAAATCGGGATCACTTCGGGAGCCCCCCTCCTCCCAAGCCAAAAAAAAGTCAACCACCACCCCCTCACGAACGAAACGGTATGTATATAGAAATAATGTACTGTTGATAGTGTCCGCCCCCCTCCCCCCTTGTTTTTTTTTAGAAAAAAAAGTCTGCAAGAAACACTGTTTGGGATGGACAATTTTATAGGAAGTCCATTGAAACGGAGTAGGCTACCTACGCATTCTTATAGAATAGAGAGTGATTATTGTTTATATTTATTATTATATCGTTTTTAGAAAAAAACAATTGTATGAGTTTTGAAAAAAAAAAGTATTAATATTTGTGCATGGAGCTGAAGCCGCATCTTGTCATCAAAAGAGCCGCATGCGGCTCGTGAGCCGCAGGTTGACGACCCCTGACCTACACCGATCGTCTGTATTTGACTCAATGCCCCAAATGTAAACAATGCATTTCCGTAGTTTTATTAACGACAAGGATGTGACAACATGGGAAGTATGTTCGAAGCATCTTAGCACCACGTCTGTTTGTTACTTTTTTATGTCTACTTTAACATACACACTTTAACATACACACCGAGCACTGGAACAGTTTAATAAACCATTAATGTTGACGAGTTACTTCCCATTATAACAAATCATAGTTTTCAAGGGATGCAACGTACACAAATATATAAGGGTTAAATGTTTATGACTAGTGAAACTTTTAAATTATAAATGTAAATGCTATTATTTTATTTTTTTTAAGTATAATATATTTTATTGAGAACTGGAATTGACTTTATGTTTGTTAAAAAAAGTCATTTATTGTTTCCATTTTGCTCTTAATTTGATACATTAGCTATAATAAATGCGCAACTTATAGAGTGTTGATAATTCATAATTAAAACCGTTGTCCAGTAAATGAATTTTGAAAAATATTTTTTTTTAAATAAATAATAAACTATCACAGCTTTGGATGTTCCTTTTTTTGTAGACGTTTTATTTATTCCGATTAATCTGTGATAAAAGTCCACTGTTCGTCAATTTGTAAACAAACTATATTTCAGCCTTATCAAATAAAAATACTTTTAGATATAAACAACATTATGTACGTAACTGATATGAATTAGACAATAAATAGGTATAAATATATGTTAATTTTTCGTTAGTTGTGAATAAGATGTCGTTTTAACATATGTTATTGTTGTTTTATAGTTCTATGTATGTTTTAAACTGAAAAACCTGGACTTGTATTATTTTTTTTTTCACGAAATTATGTGTTAACCTAACTACGTTGTAGTGTTACATAATTTTCTACTATCTATCCTCAGCAGGCTGATGTCCTTTTCTAACTATTGCACTGTCCTATTCTAGGCAGACTAGTGCCCTAGCCTAAATACTCTACTGTCCATTCCTAACTATGGAAGGTTTTAAACAGTGTTTCTTTCAGACTTTTTTTTCTCCATGTAGGAAGGGGTGCTAGATATTTTCTGGGGGGGGGGGTCTGATTAAATTTCCCTTGGTATATATTTTCTATAAACATTATGTTTCGTTCGAGGTTTTATCAAGTTATCTGTATAGTCGGTACATGCTTTCATGTTGTCGATGACTGCAGTGAGAGGTTAAACAGTTGTGTGGTGAATTAGACACCTCAACAGTGGATTACTTGATTGTTAAAGAAGACACCAACACAAACTTAACTCAGCAACTTTAATTTAATGGATCGTAAAACTACACACTACATGATAGTCTTAGTATGTTCTAAAGAAGAAACTAACACAATCTCAACTCAGCAATTTTAATTTAATGGATGTGAAACTTAACACTACATGATAGTCTTAGTACGTTCTAAAGAACATGATACATTTGTTCATCAATAGCGGCCAGCCTTAGGGGCCAGCCTTAGGGGCCAGCCCTACCACACTTTACAAAACAAAATACGTCTACATCCTCACAAGACTAACTTTATCGTCTTAATTCATTCTCCCGGCCCCAGCTTCACCCCAAGGTAACCCAACCCCTGCCTGACCCCAGCTTCACCCTAAGGTAACCCAACCCCTGCCTGACCCCAGCTTCACCCTAATGTAACCCAACCCCTGCCTGACCCCAGCTTCACCCTAAGGTAACCCAACCCCTGCCTGACCCCAGCTTCACCCTAAGGTAACCCAACCCCTGCCTGACCCCAGCTTCACCCTAAGGTAACCCAACCCCTGCCTGACCCCAGCTTCACCCTAAGGTAACCCAACCCCTGCCTGACCCCAGCGTCACCCTAAGGTAACCCAACCCCTGCCCGGCCCCAGCTTCACCCTAAGGTAACCCCCCTGCCTGACCCCAGCTTCACCCTAAGGTAACCCAACCCCTGTCTGACCCCAGCTTCACCCTAAGGTAACCCAACCCATGCCTGACCCCAGCTTCACCCTAAGGTAACCCAACCCCTGCCTGACCCCAGTTTCACCCTAAGGTAACCTAACCCCTGCATGACCCCAGCAGTCCGGGATGCCTAACCTGTGCATGCATTAATTAACTCGAACTCGTTCTTTGGGGGGGGGGGGGGGATTGAGATGCCTGGAAGAAACTCTGGTTTCAACTGCCCCATACCCAGGAGAAAAGGTTCTGAAAACAACCAGATTTACACTATGTATGTCAAAGCTTTCATTCCATTCATCATCTTGCCAATCAGAGTAGGCCTACACACTGACCACACTCACCAAGAAAGCTGGTACATCAACTTTAGCATAGGAAGACTTTTTCTGAAATAAAATTTGTTATTTAACTAAAGAATTACGTGATTAAAATCTACAATACACAAGTCTATTGTCATGGTTTATTAGTTAACCTTAGTTAACCCATTATAAGGGGGTAATCCATTAATGACGTCACGCTTTTTTGACAATTTTTACCTCCCCCCCTCCCCTTCGTCACACATCGTCACAAAAAGCCAGACCCCCGCCCCTAATATGATTTAAAACCTCAGCCTACAACCCCCCTCAAACTTGCTGTTGAATTTTTTCTTAAAACATGGATATTTTTCCAAAATCTTGTCAGAACTCTGCCAACATAGTATTTTGATCAATTCCCATTTATATTTATTAAAACCGTTTTCTAAAACGCAAATTAACGGCTTAAAGTCGTTTTCTAACATTGCTTTTTTATAATGCAAAAAAGTGACGTCACACCATCTGACCCCCCCCCCCCCATCCCCCTCATCACACACCGTCACACAATTACGCCCCCCCCCCCCTTTCCCCCTATGAATGTGACGTCATTTATGGACGACCCCTAAGACATCTTTGACAATTTAATAATAGTCTTTACTTCCTTTACTTATTTTTTGTTTATTTTCATAGAGTATTGGCAAGTCTAAATTAACTATGTTTTATCGTCCTAACCTCTCTATTTTACACACACACTAGACGATGTTTTCCTAAAACTTCAAATCCAAATAAGAACAGGTTATGCTGCCCCATGTTCGATTTTAAAAAAAAACATGTCTTAACCATTATAAAACATTATGCGATAATCATGTTTTGTTTTGTTTAAGAAGTCTTAAACCATTGATAAACTAGATGAGTTTACCTTCAATGTTTAACCTTGTTGTCCCAATTACACACATCATCGTTACCAGGGGCTAAAACATGTACAAAAATAATGAAGACACTAAAATAAAACAAAATCCTCACATTAAAAAAAATAAACATTATTTAAAAAAATAATTATAAAACAATTAATTAAAAGTATCAGAAAATGTTATGTACTTTGTATGTTGTAATTGCAATTTTTGAATAACATGAGCTTAGTTACAAATTTAAAACCATTGAGTATACGAATTAATTAGATGTTCATGTTAACTATTAAATATCCTAATATGATGATGTCATCAATAACTCTTACCTAAACAAAACATCGTGGGCTGTTCAAAACTCTTAATTGTGAAATACACACAGATCCGTAGCGATGGGGTGGGGAACAAGGGGGGACGGAAATATGTCCCTGGGCGCCGATATTAGGGGGTGCCAAAATGGGTTGTAAAAAGTAATCGAACATTTGAGGGGGGTGAAAATCAAAAGTTTGAGGGGTGGGGGTGCAAATCAAAAGGTTGAGGAGGTTGCAAATCGAAAGTTTGTCCGCGGGCGCCGGGAAGGGTAGCTACGCCTCTGAATATACAGTAGCAAAGTTTCCAATAAAACGACTTAGCTTTTAATGTCGTTGTACTGCAATACACTCACAACGTTACAAAACCATTTGGCCCTACATTCTGTATTTCTTATTCCAGTGGCGTAGGCAGGGGGGTTAGGGGGGGGTCATAACCCCCCCCCCATAGACCCCTCGGTATATAAATAAAAAGTATGAGGGGGGTGCAAATCGAAAGTTTGAGGGGGGGGGGGGAGGGTGCAAATCGAAAGTTTGAGGGGGGGGGGGGTGCAAATCGAAAGTTTGTCCCCGGGTAAAAATTGGAACACCCCCCTTGAGACGATCCTGGCTACGCCACTGTCTTATTCCATACACAATGTAACAATGTTGCCCTGCATCTATAAACCTACAGCAAATCTTTTGATTTTAAGCTTGTGTTTTTAAATTGAAGCTGTGAAAAACATTTTAGCATTTTGCTAGTTATTTCCCATGTATATAATCATCTACGCCAAGGGAAGCTACCTAAAAATGCAATGAGGCATATTAACAAGTAGTAAAACAAAATAATTCTTATTTAAGAATTATGAAAATATTCTTAGATAAATTAATATTTTTTTTTTCTCAAAAGTAATGTTGCACG